AATGTAATAAACGATATTTATATAAAAAATTAGTTTTAAATGATTACATTGTCAACATTGTTTATAGGTAGATACATGATAATAATAATTTTGTTATATGTACATCATAATTTGTATGGGGTGGGGTAAAATTTGCTCATCTTATAGTAGGCGACGAAAACTGAAAATCGACTACAGCGCATCCCCACTTTAGATAATAGATTGCGGCGATTGTACATGATAATTAAATTTGTTGTTTAATTTGCAAAAAAGAGGTAAATAATCTGTACAAAAAGTATCTTACTGTCATCAAGGTTGATATACCCAATGTATTACTGATCAATATTTAATAAATAAACAAAAAATGTTTTACACACTACACACCATATACTTTAGTTTTTCTATGTACTACACAATACTATAATAAATAAGGTAACTAAAAAAAATACAAATTACAGTAGAAAATTTAAGTAGTTTACAGAGATAATTTAAAAAATAGTACACAAACAAACCTTTCTTCTGTCTGTAATATATAACATTCTAGATGATTTGAAAAATATATCATTGGATCACGACAGGCTATTTAATTCACGAGATATGCGTGTATAAGTGTATTTGTTTGTAAATGTCTATAAAGTAAATAAAGCAAGCAGTTCCGGACAATTTATTAAAACATTTAATAAGTTATGTAAGAATAGTAAATCCGCATCATGCCTTCCTTTTTCAAAAGAGTAAATATTATTAATTTGACGATAGTTAGTATCTAGTCAGTTAATTCCTAGATTGAATTCCTAATGTCCGAAAAACTTCCTCTATACATCTAAATCACATAAATTTGTTTAGGTAGGGTCAGCTACGTGATCATTTGGCAAAGTAATTAATCAGTTATTCCCGCCTACTGGGGGTTTAGTGGAGTGTTAATATTATGCTGCACGATAGTTTTCTTGCTGAGGTTTTTTAATAAAATGTTACTGATGTCATCCGGTCCCGGAGCCCTTCTGTTTTGAGGCCCTTAATCACCTCACACACCTCCTTAGGGGAGGTAAAAAATCTGATGTGTCCAACACATGACTTTCCTATCTAGTTATTACAGGCTTTTTCCGGTTATTTTGTACAACCTGTTGCAGCACCTCCATAAATGTTTTAAGGATAAGCTAAATATATACATTTTCCACATACATCTACCTCGAAACATTTTTCTATAGATATTCATTGAAAACGAAAATACTAAAAAATTTAAATTTAGCACTTTTCCTACAATTTTTCCATTACGGTCCATTTTAGAAAAATAATGTATAAATAAAAATTATAGATATCGATATCGCAAACAACTTTTATTTCAATAATTTTCATAAAAATCAGAATTTTGCACATTTTGTCAAATTTCTCGAATACGGACCATTTCAGGAAATTTTGACATAAAACAAAAATTATAGATAATAATATTAGAAGTAACTTTTATTTGAACTATTTTTTTCTCCAAACATAAATAACAGATATATTCCATAAAATATAAAAACGGCCTCCCATAAAATACCCCCCAGATGTTCCGACTTTGTCCAAAATCTAGTCATTTCACGTCAGGCCAAAATAAAACTTAAGTTTAAAATTTATTGTTTTTTTCTTTATCCGCTTTTGAGTTTTCTTAAAATTTCGAAATTTACACATTTTCTCAAATATCTCGAATACGGTTTATTTTAGAAAAATTATGTAAAGGATAAAAATTATAGAGAATTATATTACAAACAACTTTTGTTTGAACAATTTTTATAAAAAAATATTTTTTTACATTTTGTCAAATTTCTCGAATACGGACCATTTTAGAAAAATTTTGTATAGAACAAACATTTTAGATAATATAAGAAGTAACTTTTATCTAAAGAATTTTCTTCCCCAAACGAAAATAGTCAAAACGGATTCAGGGGACCTCAGAAAGTAAAAATCCGTCGAAAACTCGAGGTAAAAAAAAATCATGATTCCTATGCTTTCTTTATATCTGTATACAGATAGGAAAGTAAAAAGGATTGAGGCACTAATTGTGGTTCTAACTGCTCAAATGTGTTTGCTATTTGTTCTATGCGAGTTTGTTCCAGGTTATTCTCCTGTTCGTTTATGAATTTTGACTGAAAGTATTCGCGGAAGGCTTGGCCTTTTTCTTTGTCCGTTGAAGACGGTTTTTACCAAATTGTGACAAAGCAGGTCCGTAAATTACATCGCCGTAACTTAGTTGTGAAAGTACGAAGGCGTAGAAGGGCCACATAATATAATTTTTTTTATTTCGCCTTTAAAATCGAAATTCCAACTTTAATCTCGAAATTTCGACTTTAATCTCGAAATTTCGACTTTATTCTCGAAATTTCGACTTTAATCTCAAAATTTCGACTTTAATCTCGAAATTTCGACTTTAAACTCGAAATTTCGACTTTATTCTCGAAATTTCGACTTTATTCTCGAAATTTCGACTTTAATCTCTAAGGGTAAGTTCGGTTTGGAACTCGACGGATCGGACAGAGCGCGCACGGAGTGCGTGACGTCATCGACAGAGTTCGCTCTTTTTACAATCTCAAGACGAACACAACGGGAATGACAAATGACACTCTAGTGATAGTTTGCACTTGAATACACTTTTGTGTGTGGAATGGACTGTAAAAAATTAATTTTAGTCAAATAGGAAATAGTTATAACAAAAACAAACAAGTAATAATTCGTATAAACTGATTAAATCATAGATTAGAATATTGACGTTTGACATTTTTGACACATTCCTACAGATACCCGTTGATCTCCACCAGCCAACTCTGGGAAGAGTGAGCGCGCTCTGAGTACGTGATCTGTGGCAAGCCGAACACAAAAGAGAACGCTCTGAGTGCCAAAACGACCACAATTGAGGCATACCGAGTGCACTCCGAGTACAGCGAACGCCAAACCGAACTTAGCCTAAATTTCGACTTATTTAAAGATTAAAGTCGAAATTTCGAGAAAAAATTCGAAATTTCGAGAATAAAGTCGAAATTTCGAGTTTAAAGTCGAAATTTCGAAAAAAAAAGTCGAAATTTCGAGATTAAAGTCGAAATTTCGTGATTAAAGTCGAAATTTCGAGAATAAAGTCGAAATTTCGAGATTAAAGTCGATATTTCGAGAATAAAGTCAAAATTTCGAGTTTGAAGTTGGAATTTCGACTTTAAAGTCAAAATATTTTTTTTTTTACTATGTGGCCCTTCTACGCCTTCGTATGAAAGAACCAGACTGTCACATAGTAATATTTTTGCCTGCTTATTTAATAAGTGTCTGTGTGAATATATAAGTTTTAGGTTTAAGAAAGCTTTTCTTACAACAAAAGATGTATTCTGTGGAAATGTGAGAGAATTATCAATATATATTCCCAAATTGTTTTTACAATCTGAAAAATATATTGGTTTATTATCAATCTGAACAACAATAGAATGTTTTACACGATTCCTAGCTAACTTACGACCAAATAACATAGATTTTGATTTAGTGGCGTTAATTGATAGACACAATTTTGTGGACAATTCTGATAATGTTCTCAAGTCATCATTTATATTATAGGAAGCTTCTTCAATTTCAGATTCTTTAAAATCAAGATACAGTTGTGTATCATCTGCATAAAAATGTAATTTCATATATTTAAGGTGTCTGTGAAATTGAGAAGTATATAATGAGAATAAGAGAGGCCCTATAATAGACCCTTAAGGTACGCCGCGAGTGATTAAAATATCGTTTGCATTTTGTTCACCTAAAACTACCTTTTGTGTCCTGTGGTCTAAATATGATTGAAGCAGATTTAAAGAAGAAATGCCAAATCCTATATATTGACAAATAGATCTAAACAGACTGTGATTGATTTTGTCAAATGTTTTAGAATAGTCTAACAGTACTAATATACAAAGCTGGTTAAGATTAATTGCATGATAAATGTCATCTAAAACCTTAAGCAGTGCAGTAGTACAGCTGTGATTTGGACAAAAGCCTGACTGATTTGTAGGTAATATATCAAATCGGGAGATGTGAAGTCTTAATTGTTCTGCCATTATTTTTTCTACGTATAATACTTTCTAAAAAAATTTGAATTTTAAGAAAGTTTAGGATGTTTTGATTTTGTTATTTTTATTACAGTAAGTTCTAGTAAGCTTATAAAGAAATGGGCCGTCAGATGTAGTTACATGCTTTGGTAACATAAGACATCATCGGAGTAACCAAACCGTATAAAGAAACGCTCTGGTAATATAAGTATGTTCTAGTAAGTTGTGGTAAGCTTACAAAGAAATGCCTTAAGTATTATTATTACTTTTATTTGTATCTGTCGACTCTGGAAATTATGGAAATAGTTAAAAACAGACACTGTTATTGCTGGTATTTCAAATAGATATTCAAGAGAAAGATGGACGCATTTAAATCTTCTTGAAAAATTTGTTACTAAGGAAGTGATTTAGAATACTTTTTCAAATAATTAATAACCTAATGTAATAATTTTGAACAGGAAAAGAGAACAACTTTATGTCAAAACTCTTTTATGAAAATCGACCTTTCAATTATTTTTACTGATGGTGCCGTGAGTTCCTCACCACAACTTTATTTGATTTCCAGTTATTTATTATAATTAGATTTTCATTCATCAATAAAACTGATTAGATCGTTTAAAACCCACATTCCTGTACTCAGTGGGAAAGTAAAAAAAAGCTTAGCTCCGCTACTTAACCTTATGTTTTTTTTTTTTAATTCACAAGATAATTATTAGTAATTAAACGGTAACGTTTTATTGTAGCGGTTTTATTTTTCACTCACGATTTTATAGAAAGATCTCAACAACCGAAAAATGACTTATTTGATCTCGTGAGATGTCCAGCAGTAAAATCACGAAGCTTACACCTGTAACATGTAAATCACATGTAGGACATGGGAAAAAAATTACATACGTTTCAAGAAATCTATTAATGAAAGAGAAACCGCATTTTTGATCAATTCATTATTTATAGACTTAATTAATCCTTACATTATAGATCATATGGCTATGTCATCGTGTGCTTGCGCTACTACTTGTCAAGAACTCGAGTTGGTTGTGATTTATCATGCTACGGACAGTGATACTTGTTTATGATGGAGGACCTTTCTCTGATGACAGGGTCGGAACATCGGCTATTTTTTGTGTTCGTTTTTAATACAACAAATCTTGTATGTTACTCATTTTAATATGAACAATTATTTTTGAGTTATGTAACACACTTTTTTGTATTATGATTTATTTGTACCGATTTTTAGACCTCAAAATCGCTAGGACTATGTTGGCAAGTGATCACGAGAGTTTTGTAATATTATTTTACTCACAATCGGTTAGTATTCTGTGGATTTATACCCTTTTGATACAGTCGTGAAGCGACTTATTGCTAATCTGTAGGACAAGGACTCTAATGTCAAAACATCAGGTTTGAAATAAGTTTTATTTTAGCATGGCATGGAATTTATTTGCCTCTAATTTTATTATCACTATTAGTGGCTGACGTTACAGAAATTTGCAATATCCCTCTAGTAACCTGGTGACCAAATATGAACTGTGATTGATGGATTTCATATCCGTACAGTGTTCTTAATAGAATAAATATGAAAAATATATTTGATTTTTTTAAATTTGTTTTCACAGCGAGATGTATTTCGAAAAAGGCAACAGGATTCTCCAAGAAAGTAATACATATCAAAGTTAGGTTTTTTAAGTGGGATAATAATTTTCTCATTTGTCGGAGTCTCATCCTGGACTCTCTGTCAGAGTATCATCCTGGACACTTGGTCTGAGTCTCATCATCGTCTCTCATCTCAGCAGAAGACGTGACGTGCCCTCGTCGCCTATATAAATGTGAAACCCATGGTAAGCACTTTTATTTAATATTGTAACTATTTTGAATACTTTATTTATCGTTAATAAATTATTAATTGTTGTTCTGCTCTCTTATTTCCCCAAGTCAGGTAGCACATCGAGTCACTATTTAACGCAACAGTAAGGCTCGTGACATATGGTGCCGTTTGGCAACTGATTTCCGAAGGACAATTCTTCCTAATTGCCCTTAATGTACAAAAAAAAAATCTGATGTGTCCAACACATGACTTTCCTATTTAGTTATTACAGACTTTTTCCGGTTATTTTGAACAACCTATTGCAGCACCTCTATAAATGTTTAGAGGATAGACAATTTTCATAAAAATTAGAATTTTGCACATTTTGTCAAATTTCTCGAAAACGGACCATTTCAGGAAATTTTTACATAAAACAAAAATTATAGATAATAATATTAAAAGTAACTTTTATTTGAACAATTTTTTTCTGTAAACATAAATAACAGATATATTCCATAAAATATAAAAACGGCCTCCCATAAAGTACCCCCCAGATGTTCCGACTTTGTCCAAAATCTAATCATTTCACGTCATTCCGAAATAAAACTTATGTTTAAAATTTAATGTTTTTTCTTTATCCGTTTTTGAGTTTTCTTCAAATTTCGAAATTTACACATTTTTTCAAATATCTCGAATACGGTCAATTTTAGAGAAATTATGTATAGGATAAAAATTATAGAGAATTACATTACAAACAAACAACTTTTGTTTGAACAATTTTTATAAAAAAATATTTTTTTACATTTTGTCATATTTCTCGAATACGGACCATTTTAGGAAAATTTTGTATAAAACAAAAATTATAGATAATAATTTATAAAGTAACTTTTCTTTAAAGAATTTTCTTCCCCAAACGTAAATAACAGATATATTCCATAAAAAATAAAAATGACCACCTATAAAGTACCCCCCAGATGTTCCGACTCTGCCCAAAATCTAATCAGCTCATTTGACGCTGGAAAAAAACTTAAGTTTAAAATTTGGTGTTTTTCTGTGTATCGGTTCATGAGTTATGCGACACACAGACACACAGACACACAGACACACAGACACACAGACACACAGACACACAGACACACAGACACACAGACACACAGACACACAGACACACAGACACACAGACACACAGACACACATAGACACACACACACATATAGACACACACACACATATAGACACACACACACACATAGACACACAAACACACACACATATAGACACACACACACATAGACACACAAACACACACACATATAGACACACACACACATAGACACACACACACATAGACACACAAACACACACACATATAGACACACACACATATAGACACACACACACATATAGACACACACACATATAGACACACACACACACATATAGACACACACACACACACACACACACACACACACACACACACACACACACACACACACACACACACACACACACAAACACACACAAACACACACAAACACAAACTCAAACACAAACACACAAACACACACACAAACACAAACACAAACACACACACACACACACACACACACACACACACACACACACACACACACACACACACACACACACACACACACACACACACACACAGACATCATCGCGAAAATAGTCAAAACGGATTCAGGGGACCTCAAAACGTAAAAATCCGTCGAAAACTCGAGGTCGAAAAAAATCATGATTCCTATACTTTCCTTATATCTGTATACAGATAGGAAAGTTATAAATAAAAAATAAAATTAAAAACTTTGAATTGGCAAAATATGGAAAAACGAGGTTACTTTACGCTGCTTGTCTATTTGATAAAAAAATTATAACTAAATAATTATTATATACATATATACGGATATACATTTATTCCATTACTATAATCCTTTCCGTATTTCTCTTTCTAGATATATATAAAATTGATATATGTTACGTTAGTAAGATCTAAACTTGAATATGGCTCTGTAATATGGAATGGAGAATACCAAACCATTTTGCAGGAATTAGAAAGAATACAAAACAAATTTTTAAAATACCTTTACTTTAAAAAATACTTTATTAGACCAGATTATAATAGTGTCAGAACAACACAATTACGAAGTGAATTTAAAATACCTTCTTTAGACTGTAGGAGAAAAATGTTTGCTATACTTTTTTTGTATAAAATCATAAATAACCATATAAATTCCGCAGAAATATTGTCAGTTTTGCCATTTAATGTACCTCCTAGACCTACGCGTTCCGCGATTATGTTTAATATTCCCTTTGTAAGTAGCACTCTTCGATCACCTCTCCTAACCATGCTCCGTTTAGCAAATAATATTACTTGCTTGCACGAAGTAGATTGGCATATGCCTCTAATAACATTCAGACACCTAATTTATAGGTATATTGTGAACTTGTCTGTTTAATTATTTTAGTTTTTCCATTTCTTTTATTATATGATTTGCTTTTTATTTTTTAGAAATTTTTTTTCTCAATATGAGTTTGTGTTTAATCCCCCTATATCTATATATCTATTTATTTAATATGTATATTAATACGTTTTGATCGATTGTGTAAATAATAAATATTGTAAAGTCTATCCTTGTAATTTAGGCCAGTAAGCCTGTTAGGATGGAACAAATAAATAAATAAATAAATATAATATGGGCCGAACCTATCACCAGTTTTATATGAAAGTTATATTCCCAGAAATACAAATACAAATGAGAAATGCCGTTCTGCTTATTTTGCTTGATTTACCTTAACAACAGAATGCGAGTGCAAATCTGCGAGTGCAAATCTGCGAATTTGCATTTTTACATTAATATTTTTATTTCAGTATAATTCAGTTCATTTAGCTTTGTAGTATAGTAGAGCTCAAAAACATTGTTATTTTTCAAAAATAAAGTTTTTTTAAAAAGACTTCGTAATCTTACAATCATTTAACTTGAAAATCGTATTGATTCCAATGACCAGTATACTGCAAAAGAAACGATTGCATACCAATTTTTTTACGGCAGAAGGGTTTCGATATTAGCCAACAATTTATGCCGATGCACTACTTTTTAAATTCAAAACTATCTCTATTTTGAGATTTGGAGTTTCTTCAAAAACACTATTATTTTGCACAAAAAGTGTTAGTGTATGATAAAAAAAATATAATTAAGTAAATGAGTATTATATACATATATACGGATATACATTTATTCCATTAAATATTAATAAATTAATTTTATGTATTTATATTATTAAAATAATTTTAAAATAAATGTTATGTTTTTGTAATTAATTCTGCAACAACCCAATAATTGCCGTTTGAAGCGAACAAATAAACAATAAACTGTCGTCAGCACGTTGGGTAGTTAAAAAAAAAAATATTTGATTGCAGGAAGAAATTGTGACGTGACATATTTTTAGGGTTAAGGAAGGTAGGTAAAAATATTTATATACATTACTTTCGGGGTATAAAAAAAAGTTAAAATTTGTAATCTAGTGTTATTATTAAAATTTTAGTAAATAAAAGTGCATAAACAAGCAATAATTAATTGTTTTCCACCCAGCCGCAACGTGTTGGAAACCGGATAGGATGCAAAACTAAAGATGCAAAAGTGATCGCATTTAATCGCCTGTCGAGATTACATTTCACTTTCATACCGGTATCTAATAATAGTAATAATCTCAGTTTACCGATTTCAGAACCCATCTGAATTTTTACCAGCGTGGAATTGTTTGCTGGTACTTCACAGTTTTTTTACTTTTACTTACTAGACTTAATAATTGTTTATTGCCCGTAGAGGAATCGTGAACGGGTCTCGTGCTCTGTACACGAAGCTCATTTGTAAGTGATTTCTTATCTCGACTTCTTAATCAGTATTACCAAGATAGTCGACAATCATTGTCTAAAAAACTCTCCAAAAGTATTATCAGTTTCTAAATAAAGTTTACCTTGAAAATTATTTTAACAGGTGTCTGCGACTCGGGAAATTTTCAAAATATTCATGAGCTCGAAAAAATTTCCGGAAATAATTTGACCTCTAGTGGTATTACTAGTGAAAATTTACTGATAATTTTTATACTTACAACTTATTTAAAGAATAATTTGTACTACTAATGTATATGAGATTTTTTGAGATGTTTTATTTTAAAGCAAAGCAACTAACCCTTTTATATGATTAAAATTGCTTCCTTCCCAAAATGCACGTTGTTTTTGACTCGTGT